GAAGGAGAAAGATACAAATATGTTCTTAAGAAAAATTGGAGCAAACGTTTCAGCAGTCTTGATAAAGGAAGAGAGTAATGTTATAAGAAACGTTTGGAGAAGGAACAGAGGTCATCAGGCTCATCAAAAATCTAAACACACTCTTCAATATTTAATTCCCCTGTTGGTAATATCTAATTGTATCTTGAATGTCTTGAATGACTTTGAAGGGCTGTTGTGCACATTTTTGACTGTGTGTGTATGTGTATGTGTGGGGAAAATGGTTTCTGACATCTGTTCTGAATGTGTTTATCTGTAATTTTAATTCATGCTCACTTGCCTTGTCATCTGTGTTGGCCTGAAATTAGTTTAGATTATCAGAACTATTTAAGATTTTGTGTGCTTCTGTCAAATCCTCTCCAATTGCCTGCTTGCTTGGATGTGATGTTTCTATTTTAAGCCATTTCTTGTATTTAGAGAGGAGCTGACTGTCTCAGATAAGACTGCTGAATATTCTGAAGTCTCAGTAATTCAGTTATTTTCACCTGGGCAATGGCAAGGCATGCCCTCTGCTAGCTGCCACCCATGGCTGAGATTCAGAGATTCTACTGCAGTATCAACGGGTGGTTTTGCCATCTGTGTAGGTATTTTAAAGGAACCCTATAAGCCATTTCACACCAACAAATTAATAAAAATCAGACGTTTGCATTCTCTTCCATTCTGCTTGCTTGGGGATAAGCAATTGCTCCCGTGAGTAGATTGGCCATGAATAGATTGATGTTTAAGTCAGTGCTTGGGTCCTTCCCTGTTTAGTCAGGAATATAAGCATGGTGGTTGCAGTCGGTGGCCCTGTGTACATTCCTGACTGTTTTGCTGAATAAGAAAGAATTAAAATATTTAGCTAAATTAAACATTGAATTGGGATTATTAAAGGTGAGAACACAGCTAGCTTATTTCTTCATGTTACAGTCCAAATACGAGGTGGCCTTTATGTGCCAGAAGAGCAGGAAAAGCACTCAGGCCCAATATGAACTAAGATAAAGTAGATAGCATTTTCATAGAATCAGAGCATCATTAAGGTTGGAAGAGACCTCTTAAGATCGAGTCCAACTGTCAACCCAACACCACCATGCCCACTAAACCATGTCCCTAAGCGCCTCATCTACATGTCTTTTAAATACGTCCAGGGATGGGGACTCAACCACTTCCCTGGGCAGCCTGTTCCAATGTTTCACCACTCCTTCAGTAAAGACATTTTTCCTCACGTCCAATCTAAACCTCCCCTGGCACAACTTGAGGCCATTTCCTCTCGTCCTATCGCTTGTTACTTGGGAGAAGAGACCGACCCCCACCTCGCTACAACCTCCTTTCAGGTAGTTGTAGAGAGCGATGAGGTCTCCCCTCAGCCTCCTCTTCTCCAGGCTAAACAACCCCAGTTCCCTCAGCCGCTCCTCAGAAGACTTGTTCTCCAGACCCCTCACCGGCCTCGTTGCCCTTCTCTGGACACGCTCCAGCACCTCGACGCCCTTCTTGTAGTGAGGGGCCCAAAACTGAACACAGTATTGGAGGTGCGGCCTCACCAGTGCCGAGTACAGGGGCATGATCACTTCCCTAAAGTTTTGTTCCTTTCTTGCCTCCAAAACCCCAGCAGGGGAGAGTGCAGGCCAGGGTCTAAGGAATGCAAGAACGGCACTTCCTTGGTATGCACCTCTTAGCTCTTTTGAAGTGCTAGATGTGCATCTTCACTGCAAAAGAAAAGTAATTGGAAAAGCCTCTGATCCAATCAATGATATGCCTACTCTGACAGAGGCACAGTGAACCCTTACTCTTCTGTAGCATCAAGTACTGTTTTTTTTTTTCTATTGGTTAACCTTAAATTACATTTGTTTTGTAAGAGCTTGGTAACATACAGTGTCATAGCACCATGCATGCTCTTAACAGCAATGGCTTCCACTTTCCACTTAACGGAGGTATTGAACACGTTTTCTGAAATGCTACGGGAAATTGAAGTTAAGTCACTTTTAGTCAGCATTTTTAAAAGGTAGGGAACAATGTTTCACAGGTCTTTTATAATAATAAATGCCAAGGCAACCTAGAGATGTAGTAGGTGTCCTATCATTGGGTATTCCTAATAAGAGGAGAACAAATAAAAGTTCTTTAGAGCCTCTAATTACACAAGTTACGGAACTGGAGTGTTACTTTTTTCTTCTATGCTCTTTCAACAGCCTTCAAGCTTGAAAACATAAGAGTGAGTCTGATTCTGAATGGAGACAGTTCATATTTGAGTTGATAATAAGGGAACAAAAGCAATGCATGTTTTTCCAGAGAATTTTTAACAAAAGGTGACAGCTCTAGTTGTACAAAATGGGTAGTTAGGGTAGTCATGACAAATTTCAGAGGTGGCAAATAAACAGTGAAGGGCTACGATGTGATGTTGAAAACTAATCAGCGGCTTGTGCTTGGGAGAAAGTGCTGTTAGAGAAGAGGCGTTGATCTGGGACTTGGGACTCGTGATGAAAATTAACCCTGAGAAGCCATCCCTTTGGCTAATTATAAGTGTTAAATTTGCCATAAACTGATCACAGGGTAAAATGTTGACTGACTGGGATAAAGAGAGCCCAGAATCGAAGTTTTTTTTGGTGCAGAAGGTTCTGTATGGACTATTGTAACTAAAACGTGCCAAGGAAGATGAAATAATTTTTATAGGTTTGGATGAGAGGAAAATATAAATAAATCAAAAAAATTAAAATATCAAAAGACAGTAGTAACAATCCACACTAAATGAAAATGTGGTATTTTTATAGTGCCTAGGTTAACACTGATATGTTGGTTCTGAGTAGTAGTACCTACCAATAATAAAGAAATATAAAACTAATAGTGTATGAGTTAACACACTGATATGTTGGTTCTGAGTAGTAGTACCTACCAATAATAAAGAAATATAAAACTAATACTGTGTATGAGTTCAAAGGAGAATTATTATTCTAAAGGAGCAGGGAATAGACTAGAATGTCATAGTCTTAGGGGAAACAGCGATAAAGAAAACATTGTAAAACTTGTTGTCTCTTGGAGATTATCTAGAATGCCAACAGAATAGTAATCTTGCTTGGGGCATATAAATTAGATGCTGAATGGATAAGTTTGGGGAGATGGCTTCCAGTGTTTAGTTTCGATTTATAATTATAAAGGCAAAAATGAGAATTCAAATACTGTGATTGCATAAATGGCTAAAGGCACTGTAACTGTGCCCTTTTTTACCAGTATAAAATGTACCCAGGCTTGACAAGGCTCTATCTGGAATACTTGAGCGTTTTTTACCAGACTGTGAAATGAATGAAGACTAACAGGGATATCTGCAGTTTTCATTAATGGAGTTGGTTCTTTTTCGCAAGTTGGATTACAATGAAAGAACGAGCTAACTGAGCACAAGGAAGATACCTTGGTTATTAATAAAATTAATCTGAAGTTTAAGTGTAGAGTTGGACGTTGACACTGAGAAAGTGTCCTCCTTCCTAACAAGTGTTACATTTTTTTTAAAAATGACATCACAACCCAATGTTAGATGATCAGACTCATGAAGTTGGAGTGCACTAAAATTGACGAAACCCGAGTTTTAGATTAGTAGATGACTGAAGTGCATGTCTAAAAACAAATAAAAAACCCCTCAATGAACAACAGCTTCAGGATAGCCCTATGAAAATTTGTTTACTGTAGATGAAACTTATGTTTAGTATAAGCTAAAGTCTTCCAAAGTTCCTTAAACAATATCAAAGCAAGGGATATGAACAAAGATCTGAATCTGGCATTTAGATCTTAGAAGTCCAGGTCGTCTTTTTCTTAGCTGTCTTTAGGGGCTGTTAGGAAAGTTTAGGGTCTGTGAACTAGAACTTTTAGTTTGCTCCTTTATGACCAGGCAGAATTGGCAGAAGCTGTTCTTGTATTCCAACTTGCGCTTATATGAATACCAGTAGACAAGTAGCTGATGGTATGTCTGGGTTTCTGGTTTCCCGCCTTCCAGGACAGAAAATGCAGAAAAAATAAGAATTACCAAAATGAGTGTGTTTATATCTCAGGGAAATAGAAATTGACTCTTGGATATTAATAGAGAAAAGTCCATCAAAAATACCCCGAGGGGGGAGGGGGGAATTCTTGTTGTCAAATTCGGTAAGGTATTTAGTTATTTCTTACAGTACTTCCAGTGGAGTGCCTTTAAAGAGATAAAGTTGCAATTACTTTCACTTTAGACTTCAACAGAGAGAGGTTTTGACACATCTTTGAGAAATATTAAAAATCAGGAAGAAAGAACTTCAGCCAGTTGTGCCTTTATAGAAGAAAGTGGGAAAGTTCATTATGTTTGTAGAAATGACTTTGTATGGAATAAAAGAAACTGTTCACAAAGAAGCTACTCAGAATTTGTGTCAAGGAAAAAGGAGAGATGAATAAAAATTCTCCCCTACAAAACATGATGCATGGATTAATTATAAACTGTAGAAACAATCCAGCTAGTTTTTGATGACAGAATTAGAAGGCAGTGCATGAGTTTGTTTTGACTACCAGCGTAGTTTTGTGTGCTAATGCAACGTCTCGTTTTTGCTCTTCTAAAAGCATGCTCGATTATGCATAGTAAGAGAACTGTGAAGGATTTTTTTGATATTACACTTTATTATCCTTTTGGTGTAAGTTAATATTACAGTTCTTGACAGTTGGAGATAAGGTGTCATTTTATCCTACGTGGGTTCAGTAGAAGGCTAATGTATTGTCATGGCTTCCTGCTTTGAAGCTGTCTTTTCTCCTGACTAAAACTAGTTATACAAATACATTTTTGAACAAAATGGTTTTGCTGAGAGTGAATTGATGGAGGAATCCAAAAAGCTTGTGTGCACCAGATAGGTTTATAGAGATAATTTCTGGAATGTAGCATGCCAAAGTTTTTCGGAGTAATACAGTCAATGTAAATACTAAACCTGAATATCTGAAATAAACGTGTTTTAACACTAGGTTGCATGTTCTTTGTATTTCAGGCCATAACTTCTGCGCAGAGGGACACAGATGCGGTGAAAACTCAGAGTGCAAAAACTGGAACACAAAAGCTACTTGTGAATGCAAGAATGGTTATCTCTCTGTCCAAGGGGACTCTGCGTATTGTGAAGGTAAACAAAATATTCAAAGACCTGTCCAGGTTGGCAGGTTAACAACCTACTCAGAAATGTAGTATTAAATAAATGGTTGACGAATGAATTTCATTGCAAAGTTCAGTTTCATGATGGTGAATATCACAAGAGCCCTTTTTCCGTTCATAAATATGGATTGAAGATTACAAGTGGTGCTGGACCATTCAGATTACCTATCTATGGGCAGACTTCATTGTTGCCGTTGGGCCTTGGCACACCATGGTCGTGCTGTCATTACAATTTTTAAAATACCATTTTTCAGACATTAGCACCTACCTTCTAAAATGTTTTTTAGAGAACAACATCTTTATAAGATGCATTAATTTAGGAATTGGGAATTCTGCTGACATTTGTGAGAAAGGTAAGTGTAAAGATGTACTGACGCTTGAATATAGAAATGATGATCTGCGGTTCTTCCTGAAGTACTTCTGTGGGCCGGGTACTTTACTGAAATGGTTTTGCTATGTTACAGAAGAGACCTATTTCTTAGAAGAGTGTAGCTGAGGTACTTCTGTTGATGTATTATTCCATCGCAGGAATGAATGCAATGGGGCATTATTCTCCTTTTTGTTTCTCAGTGTTTTCTAGAGCTTGCCGTTATTCGTAGCTATGATGTACTTATTAAAAACTAAATTGATGAAACATATACTGCTAAAATGTTTTTTAGAGAACAACATCTTTATAAGATGCATTAATTTAGGAATTGGGAATTCTGCTGACATTTGTGAGAAAGGTAAGTGTAAAGATGTACTGACGCTTGAATATAGAAATGATGATCTGCGGTTCTTCCTGAAGTACTTCTGTGGGCCGGGTACTTTACTGAAATGGTTTTGCTATGTTACAGAAGAGACCTATTTCTTAGAAGAGTGTAGCTGAGGTACTTCTGTTGATGTATTATTCCATCGCAGGAATGAATGCAATGGGGCATTATTCTCCTTTTTGTTTCTCAGTGTTTTCTAGAGCTTGCCGTTATTCATAGCTATGATGTACTTATTAAAAACTAAATTGATGAATCAACATATACCGCATTCCTTCCTGCCTTTGCATTGGGGCTTTTATTTTTAATGCCCTTGTATGTTAGGTTGCAATATTTAATCTTTTGGCCATCACAGGCAGTTTTTGAACTACTTTGTAGAAATATTTCCCTAGATTCTTTTTCCAATAGTGCTGGTGATGGAAGGGAGATGGCATTTTTGACACGCTGTTAAAATATACTGTAAGAATTGGAAGACAGGATGAAAGAATAAAAAAGACATGCATGGACTGGGCTTAAATGGTCCTGCTTTCATAAAAAGACTTTTTAGTGTATGTAAGTGGACTAGTTTAAATAGCAGTTTATAAAGCTGTTCAGTAAATTGCAACTATAACTTTTCTGGTATTAGTCAGTTCTCTACAAACAAATTTGCATGGTCCTATATATGCACTTTCAGTGACTGGGAAAACAGTTTACGCATTTCTTTGTAGAGGTAGGCAGCAGATATACTGTATATAGAGAAACTTTTTTGTATTAAAAACTGTGAGAAGAGCTGCTTTATAGGTACTGCAAGGAATACTCAGAAATCAGAAGACGGTAACAAGGCGCTTCATCAGCTATGATACAGAACCCAGTATTTGTTCTTTTTTTTCTGTTTTAAATAAAATCAGGGCTTAGTGTTTTTATTTACCTAGTAGCAGACTGTCCCTTTTTTCCTCTATGGAAAAAATTTAAACATCTTGACCCAAATAATTTTGGAGATGTTGACAGTGCAGTAGTGGTGGGGAAAGGAAGAGCTTTTTGAAGAAATTAATGGGAATGTTGCGTTATATTTTGAAGGGCAAATCAAATCCCTGACTTGTGTGCATGTGGGTGAAACATGAGGCAACAGAGCAAACACAGCTGCTTTTGCTGCCTGAGACCGTGGGATAGATGAGAGAGAGGCTTTCTGCATGTTATGAAATTAAAACTTCGATAGAAGGAGAGCAGTTCTTAGGAGGTAACGTAGAGAAGAGCAAGGGGAACTACAGGCTGACGAATCGATTAGCCAAGAGGTGACTCCTTTCACCCCTGTGAAGAGCTTTCACTCCTCAGAACAGCTTTCTGCAAAATCTCTTTATATGCCTGTCTAACCTTATTCCTCTCATTTGTGTGTTTAATCTGCTAAATATAATTTCATAGTTGCCTGTGTAATGTTCTCAAATGTATGGTGAAGCTGTGATTTAAATAAATGAGGTCAAAGGCATGTATCTGAAGGTAGGTTTTGACAGGATGTTGGTATTTTATAGGGGTGGATTTTTTTTGTGGTTTTGGATTTCTGTGTGTACTGTGTAAGAATTAAATATGCAAAACACCTGAACAATAAGTAGTAAGCACCTGTGGAAGCAAGGAGGATATCATTCTCAGCTGTAGTTCTGAATTTGTCTTCATCATTCCTAAGACTTTAAACTTAAAAGGCATGTAAAATTACTGTTTCCTTTGAGATGGCGAGGTTAAACTATTTCATATCTGTGACGTGCTGGTAAGTGGCCCCTTAGTTCAGAGTGCTCCAGATCATTAACTTGCAGCTTTCCCGATTTCTCATCTCTTCCAGTATCTTTGAAATACTTGTGCATGTGAATTCTAATGTATGGTATTATTTTACCTTACCTGTGTTTTTACTGTTATTTCTGCTCGCTCTTATTCACACAGCGTTATCCTGCTGGACCTTATGGCATCATTTTGATCTTGTAAGATCTCTGAAGAATTGTGTTTGAGTCTGTTTTGCTTTTTCACACATATTTCTGTCTTTTTTTTAACATTCCATATTCACATTTGCAGTACGGTGGAAAAAATGAAAAAGATTCTAACTTTTGTCAGAGAACTGGCATCAGCAAATTTATAAAATAAATAACAAAAACCCAAGAGGCCTTTACTGTTCATGCTCAGTAACTACTTTTCAAGTAGTTAGCAGCTCCTCATGTCAAAACATACATGTAGGATAACCACTCACTATATGTATTCCATTTTTGAAATAACATAGATGTGTTTAGGGAAGACAGTTTCTGAAAACAAACAAGTTAATGAAGCTTGTAATGAATGAAGGATATAAGTGGAGATTCTCTATTCCTGTAAAAGTAATGTATTTCACTTAAGAACAGACAAGTTGGGTGTTTTTTTGACATTTGCCTACTTGTCTTGCACGTATGAGACATAATTAGAGCATTCATCATTTGCAGAGAGACGTATACAGATATTTCTATTAATCGTGTTGACTGAGGTTTAACTACTGATGGGGATACTTAGGCACAAGCGTTGAACCAGTGTCCGTTTATCTCTGTCACATATGCATGGATAAATTCTGGGAATCTCACAAGGAGCTAGAGCGTCCGATGTTTGCAGGATGCAAGCATTCAAGCTGTAGCAGCATGTGCACATTTGCAGCTATGGCTTTTTAGGACGTGACATATGAGCACCTGTGTCGAGGGCTGAAAGTTGCCTGCATGGGAGTTAGGTACAGATGGTGCAGCAGTTCAGTGGCAAAACCAGGACCAAAATGGGGAACTCCTTTGAGTCTGTCTCATGCTGATTCTTCCAGACACGTTATGTGATGTGTACAGCAGACCTGCAAATACTCTGTACTTCTTCAAAGCCAGAAAACTCCACAGTCTGTGACTACTTCACAAATACTAAAAGGACAGTCCTCATAATGCAAACTAAGAGACAGGAAGGTGTCAGCAAATGGAGAGTCTGAAGCTCAGAGATGAAGTGGGAAAAATCAAGCCAAATCAGCTGGAAGTCAGGCTTGTTGCTAGCGTGATTATCCTCACTTTCTAGATGCTAACAAGCAAAGAGCCATCTCTTCTGAAAAGAATTTGATGGTTTTTTGCGATATATTTCGCAGTGAAGAGCAAAAGCAGAATCACTTTTTCCCGCCATGTTTCAGTTCTGCATTCTTTATTACCTTCTTAGCTTGAAACATTAGCAGCCCTTTTCTACCTGCAAAGTTGTTATGTTGGTGCAAAAGTGATTATTACCTAATTGCTGTTGAGCTCTGATTCATTGTGAGAGCTGTTTAAATCTGAAGTGGGATGAATCTCCCAGTTAGGATAAATGCACGCCTCTTCTCAATGACAAGAGTGCATGAAACAAGAAAATTAGTATTAACCTTCTGTCCTTCGTGCACAACTGCTTATGCCCCCAAGAAACGTGAAGCAAAAGTGGTACAGTAGCATACCACAAAATGTCTTGTCATGTTAAACAGCGTGTGCTTAACCAGTGTCACCAGAGGATGTTCCTGTGATAATGGGTGTAGTATAAGAAAGGATCCATTGGCTAAAGCGGACCTACAAGATTAATATTCTCATTGCATGACTATATCGTAGGGTGTGCTTTCCCTATATACCTAAGTAGGATACCATATGCTCTCTAGGATGTCTTCCAGCTGTTGATGTAAAGAGTGTGAACAAGCTGTGTGAATCTGAGTTGGTATTTTAGGAACAGGTAACAAAAGAAAGCTATTTTACAAGAATATAAAAAAACCAAAACACCTTCTCTGGCAGAAGCAGCCTGTTAGGCAGTGGTTAGGACAGGATATCTCAGGTGCTTTAAGGTGCTTTGCCCTTAAAGAAGAGGCCAAAAGTTCTGGGGCCAAACGTAGTGTTGAGAATGCCTTGTATTGGCTTTTTTTTTTCTTTTTTCTCCTTTACTGGTTAAGTTGCATGGGTTGATAGTGACAGGAGCAGATCTGTGAAGAATATGTTTCTGTGAGATTAATTCAGGCAGTATAGTTAGTTTCCTTACATGACCCGACCCTCAAGGTCACCTTAGCGCTGTTACGTCTGCTTAAAGAGTTTATGAATTAAATGCCTTAATATTTGTGAAAACTCTTCCCATTTTTTGTCCTCATAGAATGTTTTAGAACCATTCGTGACTTTCATTCAGAAGGGACTTGAGTAAGTCACTCTTTCCCTTCTGTGCTCCAAACGTTATCTTAACTTGTTGTTAACAAATTATTGCTCATCTC